CCCTAAGGTCAGATAAGTGCCCCTTCGTCGGGGAATTTTAGGTTCCACTACTGGGTTCATTCATTTACATCAATGAGAGAAATTTGAAGATGGGTTTGTAATTGTCATTCCATATTTTAGAGCCTAAATAGCAAATGCATTTAAAGCTGTAACGAAGACCATTATTTTGAATAAAAGACGCCCCACCTAGTAAAATGTACCCTATGTTCAAGACTCTAAATGAAATAACGTAAATAATTATGAAAAAAATGTTCTCATTAAAAATGAAACATTATTGAAAATCTTCTTGTTCATAAAGGGTATAAGGGTTCTGCCTGAAATTTCTAAGTTGGAAGGCCATAAATTGAAATTACGGTTACCAGATATAAAACAATCTATCTTACTGAAGCAGCAGGGACGCCAGGGCACATTTGGGGGGGGGACTCTAGAAAAATTGGCAAAATTTTATGGTAATTTTTCCACCATTATCTATGATGACACAACATTATTGCTGTAAGCAAAAAAAGAGGGTCTACAGTTCCCCCAGCCCCCTGGCTCAGGTGTGCCTGAGTAGGGGGGGGGGGGTATGAAATCCATTGGACAGCGGTAAACTAATACTATCCAGCAATATTTACCATCACAGTATAATAGAGAGGGGAAAGTTATACAGACATGTCCCTTGGTAAAAATACAGGATTTGACACGGAGAAAGGTGGAAATAACACATCAGTGAGCTGCTAAACAGTGGTAGAAATGTCAAGATCACCAGAGGACAAGAAAGTGGGGTGCTCTTGTCAGGTAATCTGGGGCTACCAGCCCCTAGATAGAGTATTTTTCCACAATCTAGTTACTGATGCTACATAAAAACAATATATTTTCAATCAGAACTAAGACATAGACAAGAATATCAAATCGTCTTTCATATACAGGTCTATGAAATCTGTAGGCTATTTCATATAACATAATTTTATTTCAATTCAGTTTAAAACTGCATACATGATAGCTAAAATTTAGATAAAAGAATCAAGGCCACTTCTACAAACCTTAACGGGAAACCGAGATAAAAAAATTACCAATGAAATTGGTGTGGTAAAAGTTAGGGACAACATTAGGGGCTACATAACTCATTTTATCTTAAATTACATCATTTCTGATGTACAAAAGGGCTATCCTTAAACTTGTAACAACACCCATCTGTCATTACTAGAGACTAAAGTGTGAATTACTTTAAATAGGTTTTAGCAAGCAAATTTTTTTTTTATATTTTTGCAACGAAATTGGGGATTCGCAAACTTTATGACTCATTGTAGTAGTGGCCCTGATCACAAATGCACTACAAAGAACATCTTGCATTTGATGCAACTGTAACGGATTAAGATACTTGAAGTAATGATATTAGGTATTTGACATCACAGGCATACTGCTCTTAAAAAGCTTTAGCTTAATGTATAACTGACTTCTTGACACCAAATAAATATTTTCCTTGAATCAAACCAATGACTAATGAATTTCATTTAATTAATCAATAAAGATAGATATTAAACCTTAAAGAGAGCATTGATGTTGGAAGCATTTCAAAAGTCTAGAAGGTGACATGAAGGCAAAAGGAGGCACCTCTGTTAGCTTCAAATATGTACTGTTAATTAATGTTTCTAAAGAGTGCCCCCCTGGGCTTCCTGGTTCCTAGGTCTATGAAAAAGCAGATACAATATGTCTCTACATTTAAAAAATAATGGCATGTTTTCACCCAATCACCAATTACTAATTGTTTTTTTATAAGGAAACTATGAGAAAAATAACTTTCTGAACATTACCTAATAAATTCTTGATGAAATTGTCTAGCCAAAATCAAAACCTTGTGGTAAAAGAGGGAGTGGCTTAATTGGAATTTTTAAGACTGCCTATTATTCAAGGTCTACCTCTCACTAGCCAATATAGTGGTAAAAGCTGAATGTCCAATTTACTCTTTTAAAATACATATAAAACTGTCATACAGTAGGAAAATTATACATAATATCTGTCTTATAGAAGATAATGATTCTTTAATAATTGTGTAAGAGTTTTTGGATATTCAATTCAATAACTGACATTTATCTAAAATTCCTAATATCAAAACCAACAAACAGTTAAACTCTTCCAATATATCTTCTGGCAGGGTTCTTTGGTCTCAGATTTGTCATAGCTTGCACATTAAAATGGGGGATGTGGAGGTCCTCCTGGACATTGCTAGTTACTTCAAATGTGGCAAGGACTTTCATTGACTTAATCAAATCTTTAATGACATCTGAAAAATCTTCAAAGCCACCAAATGTCTCTGTGATATTTTCATCTTCACTGTTGACATTTCCAAATATATCATGAATACTTGGAACATTTTCAGCAATAGATTTGGCAAAATTTGAGCTTTCTGTATAGAGGTGAGTTGACTGAACACTCTTCAAAATAAAGTCCCTCAAAGCATATGCTGATTGCTGTTTTGAAAAAGTACAAAATATAAACAGCTGGCACTGCAAGGCTTCCATAGCCCTCTTGACGATAAATCATTTTGAGTAGATGCAACTGTCAGTTTGTTAATTGAAGATTGATATTGAAAAGAATTATTGCTATCTATTATGGTAGGTAGGTACAAAATAATACAAGACAGAGCATCCTAAATACTTATAAGCATATAAGATGCCTTACAATACCATAGTATTTGCTTACATAATATAATACAATATATGATACAGACCCAGTCATTAGACCCTCACGCACCACATAATTATGGTGACATATACCTGGTGTAAATTTTGCTTGAAAAACAATGATGCATTTTTAAGGAACCCTAAGTGAAAAGGAAAGGGATAGAAAATCGATAGACATTAGAAGCTATGTACGTACAGTAGACTTTGGCTATAGTCATTCTGATTAAAGTCACATTACTAGTTACAGTCACAGAAAATATTTAGACCCAAATGTGTAAAATTGTCCATTTAAGCTTGCTGTCACAGCTTATCAAGCAAAACTTGGTGTGAAGATAACTACAGTACCATTACAGCTGTAGAAATTTAGCAAATGCTACTTGCTGCAGGTACCCAAGGGAAGAAGTTTTCTACTAAGATTTAGCTTCAAAGTTTTCAGATAATGAGCTGTCACTGACAGTTTCAGGATATGTCAAGGACTTTATATGGCTGTCGAATGATTGAGGTTAAGTGTTTAGGAATCTATCATTTTCATTTACTAAACGAAAATGTCAGGCTTTCTTCACGAGACTCTTTGACAATTAACTTTTTATGTAAACATAAAAAAATATTACATAAAAAAGATAAACTTTTGGGTGTTTAAAGAATGCCATCAGAGAACCAAGAAAATTTCCAATCATAAAACGTTCTGCCAATCATAACAAAGTTCTGCTAAAAAAATGAGCGATGGAGCAAAAATTGTAAACTTTCGTCATTTGACTTCTAAAATTCAAAGACATCAATTGCCGTTAAAGTACTTACGGATGGGCTTTCCTGTTGAATATCTGACCACAGCTTACTTAAATCGTGCATCATCTCTGTTCCTAGAAAGTGTGGTACAATTTCTACCGTGACTTGCTCTGGCAGCAATGGCCTAAACACGGCTTGAGCTGCTGTCTTTACTGAATTTGCCAGCCCAGTACCTTCTATTCCAAAGAACGACTTTATAGAAAAAGACATGGTTTTGAAGACAACTTTTTCCCTCTCTTGGTGTTTATTTCGCTGGCCAGTTGACCTGAATGCTCAGACCAAAAGATCCAGCGTTAGGGTTAGTTAAAGAGAATATGGATACCTCTTGGCCTGATGGTCATGTGTCAACATTAAAAAACTTGGCGTAGCTCTCATGGAATATTCTGCATAAATTTGTTCTTTTTTGGGGCGGCGGAGCATTCTTTTCGAGATCAGTGAGTGGGGGGAGGGGGGCATATGTTGATTTTCGTGGGCAGCGGTGGACCAGCGACACCTTAGAAAGTTAAATTACTCGCTTAAATGGTTGGAAAACCAGCAAAATATGCTAACAATGCGTCCCCGAGTTTGAGGAAGGATATCCAAAGTCTAATAGGTGATAGGTGTATCTATCTGCACGGCAGTAGGTGCATTCATGAAGATGACAAATATTCTAACTAGAGTAAAAAACCAAATCTGTTATTTGTGGCTGAGAGTTTTTTGCAAAGGAAGCAGAATGGAACTGGCAACTCTAACAATAGACGGGAGAGATATTCAAAGCAGGAAGGGTTTGATACAAGTAACAACTAGGTGAAAACAAAAATAGTGTCACACGTTTAGAAAAGATTGCCAAATGTCATGACAAGAATGTTCGATTGCAAGCGACAATCACATTGTTGTAAATACGGTATCTGTCTGTAATGATGGGCAGGACGGAACTCAATATTCCTTAATGTTCCACAAACAAAAACTTAAATGTGCAAATATGGTACATTTTAGTAGCTTTGAAATGCATATGGTTTTTACTTTCTGATACTTTGGGGCATACAAACATGTTGATAGTTGATATTCTTTTGCCCATCATATCCTTCTTGAATTAAAAGATGCAGTGCAGGCCATAAAGAGTGTTAATCAATGAAGTTGTGCGTGTTGTACGTCGAAAATGAATAGAATTTGATAACGACTTTATACAAGAAATGAATATTTGGTACAACGTTTCGAGCATAACTCTTCATCAGGTAAAAAGAATAGAACGAGAAACGGCTAGAAGAGTAGAATCTAAATATAAACTATATGGAACGTAGTAGGAATACGATGTAAAACGTAAGACAAGATGGAAATATGTCAGGGGGTGGAAAGCGTATAGATAAGATAAAGTAAACATTAATAATAGCTGGATTAGGAAAGAAACGAAAATTGTTTATTAAGATCATTAGGAATAAGAGTACCAAGATTAAAAATAATGCGTTTTTCGAGGGTTTTGCATTTAGTGTTGTTATGAGGTGGGTAGCAAAGTCCAGTGATTTTCATGTTGGCTGGTGTATGGCCATCTTGGTTGAGATGAATTGAGACTGTGGTATTTAGGTCCTCTCTTCTTGATTCTTGAAGGTATATTTTCTTCTCTACATTGCGGAGATGCTCACCAAAACGGGTATTTATCTGACGGGACGTCTCCCAAATGTAGTGAAGGTCGCATTTGGTGCAACTGATACAGTAAATAAGGCAGGAAGTTCTGCATGTGAAATGTTTCTTTATATGGAAGTAGCTGTTGTGGTTGCTAATCGCGGTTGAGGTGTGAACCTGGGAGCATTGTCCACCAGAGGTCTGGAGGTATGCTTCATTATTGAAGTTGAATGCGTTTGTTGTAAGAACAAGTTCAGCGAGGCGAATGAGGGTGTCAGTAGGTGGATCTTGATGAGTGCATTTGCAAAGAAAGTGCTTGAGAGCAAGTAAGCCGTCTTTGAGTGGAATGATGGTGTAAAGTGATTTTATATCCATGGTAAAAAGAAAACGGTGTGAATCAGAAATCTTTAGAACACGAAGAGCTGCTGGTGAGTCTTTTATGTAAGTAGGTTCTTGTTTAACAAGAGGTGTATAAAGATAGTCAAGATAGCACTACACCCCTGGGTTGAAGGTTATTAGAATTAATTTCTTCTTTGATGATATGACTATTAAGAGATTTAGTAGGATCCTTGTCAAGTTTCTGATAAGAGGAAGAGTTCAATTGAGAATGGCCTTCTTGCAAATAAAGATCTTTGCGCCAGACGACGATGCACCCCACTTTGTCAGCAGGCTTGATAACGATGTCTTGTCGGGATTTGAGTTTACTAAGTGCATTCCATTCGTTTTTAGTAAGGTTGGAGCTGTTAGACTTCTTCTTAAAGTTGACTTTAGAAATCTCATATCTGAATCGGTCAATTTATAGATCCAGAGCGCGGTCTTGACCTGGTGGTGGTGTCCATGTTGACTTTGTTGGGAAAAGGTTGTCAATGACGTTGGCAGCAGATGCTGATGGGTCCGCTGGATCATCGTCAGACGATTTGTTATGAAAATGGGCTTTTAACCGAAGACGTCGAAAAAAAACCTCTGCATTGTGATATATTGAAATTCGTCAATGGAGTTTCCTTTTAGGGATAAATTTGAGGCCTTTGTTTAGAACGGAGCGTTCTTCAGTAAATAGTGACAGGTCTTCTGATATTGTGAATATTATATTCCTTGGCTCCGACTCTTGAGGAGTAGCTCTGAATGGTCGATGATTAAGAACAAGTTGGCTAAATTTGTGATTTTTTAGATCTTTAAGGAATGAGATAAGAATCCAGTTTCACGCGGTAGGTAATAATAAAAAGAGTGTAGAGTGTAGTGTAAAGAAGGTAGTGTTAAAAACTTTCGCACAACCGGCATGCTTAGCGGCAGTTGTTTTGATAAATTGACTGTGTTTTGTATTTTCATGCAGTACGATATTAGGCCGGTCTTTGAATTATGATCGCAAAGCGTGCCGGTTGCGCAAGAGCCTTTAATCTAAGATATACATGCAATATGAGATTCTTTCGATCGTTCCAAACAATGAAAGTTCCATCTAAAGAAGAACCTTGCAGAGATTATGTAGAGGACTAAGATTGCCGGAAATCATTGAACAAGCCTCCTAGAGGACGTTTACTTTGAGACGTTTTTTGATTGGTTCTAGTTCGATGGGAAGCTTAAACGAGGGAGGTTGCTTGAAAAGAATTTTCGAAGTCATTTGAGATGGCCTAAAAACATGTAATGCAAAAATTGGCAAATCAGGATAGAGACTTTCTTATGGGTGGGGTCTTACAAAAAATGCACCTCCAGGTTGAGGATTAATTTGAGAGGCTATAGGATGGAGGTAACTGGGAACTTTGCAGTAGTATTTTACAAATTCATCTTTGTGAGATCATAAAAATACTTGCAACACAAGAGGAAAAACAAGAAGCAAAAGAGAACAAAGACTAGTTTGATAAGAAGGCTTTCTTCTTAAATATTCTAAGCATATTTGAAGCTAAATTGAGCAAAAAATCGCAGCTTTTCTCGGCTTGAAACAAGGAGACTACTTAAAACATTTTACTACAACCATGGATACTTTAGGAGACACCCCAATTAAAAAATATACAAAAGTGGCAAGTATTTTGGCAAAACAAGATGAAAAGTTAACAACAGGTTTTCAACAATGCGCGTTTTGACTATAATTTTAACAAAATCAGTTCGTCGAAAAATCGAAATTTTTGTTAAATATTGAATCTTGGACTACTGCTGTCAAAAATCACACTATCTGACTCTTGACTGGTTTGATCTAAATTTCAAACCCAGATGATAAAAATCAAAGAGTAACTTGCTGTTCTTCAAGTACCTTTCCTTTGTGAACCACAATCTGATTTCTACTTGCAATGGAAGCTAAATCTAGGTGAAGATAGGACATCTCTGTGTAACAAGCCTGGCGAGTTATTTCGTCATAAGGGATAGCAGGTAAATTTGACTGGGGCAGGAAAATTCGCATTGGACTGACAGGGGAGGGATGTTGTGCCAAAAAGGGAACTATAGATTGACTGGGGGCAATGAACCTCAGGATTCCCTGTCTGGAATCTCACACAAGGAGCATGAGCTTCAAATCTTTGATTGGTTAATACAGCAGACACACCCCCGAGCTCTGACCAATCAGATAACGGAAAACTGTAAACAAACGCCAACGAAGGCCACTTTTATTCATTTTAGCGCTACCCACTAAAATTGCCCGATGTAAAATCTGTTACGATAGATTTCAAAAATTGGATATTTTTACACATTAGACAATAGACAAAGGCATCAAGGATTCCTTGTCTGGAATCTCACACAAGGGATAATTTAAACCGGGCTTGTTACGCAGGGGTGTGCTAGGTGTGAGGCATACGAGTAATCTACTGCACAAAGTATATTCGATCAAAAATATATCGATTATGCTGTGATTAAACAATCACCTAATCAGCTGAATTTTGATGAACATATGATTTCTGGCAGCACCTTTAACGACTCACAGAGCCCGTAAGGTGGAGCTCCCCATCCTCATTTACCAATACAATGTACAACTCCGACACGAATACAACCGAATCACCAAAAATTTACATTGCAATCTTAATGATCAAAATTACATATTTACCACTACAAACACCCTTAAAATGATACATCGACGGTCAAAATAAAAATACACTATACTCGCTACGCAGGGCTATTCAATACGACGGAAAATGTTTTGTTTACGACTTTGGTCTTGCTTAAGTTGCATGCAATGAAACCTGTTCACGCAGGCTGAAATACGTATTGCAATAAGAATAAATCATTGTATCTAGGTTAAGAGATGATGCATAGGAAAAAGCACCAGAACTTAAATTTGCAAGTTGCAATGCCCACTTTGAAGCCATCCAAATAATTCAAATTGAAATCTTAATCAAATAGCTGTTCCCCACCGCTGCCATGTTGAGGAAGGCCGATAACATAACTTAACTGTTGTTATGGCTGAACGACGAGAGTGCAAGCAAATATTACATACACAAAGCCTACACTGACTCTGTTTTCATACCGCCTGCTTTTTCTGGCTGGCCGTTATCAACCAATTCTTAGCTAACCTACAGTTGCAGAGTTGTGGTGCCATCAAAATAACCAAGGGGCTCTTGCACAAAATGCAACGAAAACGATGGCATGCACTGCAACTCGGACGCCCCTCATTGATAACTATCCTCAGTAGCGGTTTTCAGGGGGTCCAGGGGGCCATGGCCCCAGGCCCGCACTTATGGTAGCCAAAAGGGGCCCCACACCTAAGAAAAAAGATAGAGATTGTAAAGAACAAGGGCCCACAGTCCCTGAAATCTTCTTGGCCTAGGGCCCCGCAATCTCAAAAACTCATGACTGCCATTGCATTTAAAAAAACAAATATAAAATGCATTAGGTACAGTGGCAAGGAAAATGAAGTTTAAAATCACTACAGAGTATTTAATGCAGAATTTGTAAAGTAGTCCTAACTAAGAGACTCTATCGTGTTTTCATAACCTCTTAAGCAATAAAACAAAGCCATTAAGCGATTTATTAGGAAAAATTGATAATGAAACAATGTCACCGTTGCAATAATGGGGCGAGGATTGGTACAAATCTAGCATTGTGTATTCTCATATACTGCACTTTTACCATCTTGCTCCATATCGTCGTGGTCCATGTCGTCAAGATCGTCCTTTGACAAATGGTCCACAATTCCTGCTCCAATTGAATCGCCAAGAACATTTACAGCAGTACGTATACGATCCCTAGATAAAAAGCATTGGTGCAGTCGTTACAAAAAGGATTTTGGCTGTAAAGAGAGAATAATGCTGGATAGTTTGCAAACACTGTTTATAAAACAGCGTTTACCCATCCCTACTGTTGGAAAGGCAACCCCCTGGTTCGAGGTCACATGATAAGCTGTCACGCGACAGGAACAATTATGCACTTTTCAATTAGACATTCTATCATTATGAGTTGAGTTTAGCACGGGTTAGAATCGCACGTTTTATAAATATGTTATGTTCTGCTATATATAAAATATCAAAAAGACAACATGATTGATTTTCTATCTCAAGCCCTCAATTAATAATCGATTTACAACAGCTACACTAAAAAAATATACCAATTCAATTTATCATCTCGAATTGAAATACAGGTAAACTTCTTTGCACTAAACTTTAGACTGCAGATTCGGATAAAGAACCAGAAATTTAGTCTAAATGTAATTGTTGGTACTAGTGATGTTGATTTTATGACGACATAAACTTAACAACTTAGAAAACAATTAAGGTGTTTAGTTATTGTGGGTGAAAAGTTTCACCTGGAGCTATTTTAAGTTCTCAAACTTTATATCGTCATAAAATCTACAATATCGAAATATGTTGCACTTTGCGTTCTTCTTCAACAATGAACCACGAGAACAGTGCAGTCAATGAAAGGGACCGCAAGGACGATCATTACAAGACGTGGCAGAGTTTTAATATACTTGAATGATAGTCAGTGAAATGCGTTGCAAAAAATAACAAAGTATCATTGTGAAATCATAAATTTATCTTCCTTGGAAGCAAAAAGAACAAATCTTCAACCAAGACGTCAAGAGACAGCTTCTCGATTAAACCTCGGAGCCACTGACAAACGAAAAATTTGCTTTCTTCTTTAAAACACGTTATTTTAACTACGAGCGTCCCTCACTGAAAATCCTTAACATAAAAAGCGTCTTGTAAAAGTAATCTTGAAGCTAGACTCCGAAGATCCGATCATTCTTCGAGCTTTGAACCTGCTGTCCAATGTATAAAAGGGATTCCATGAAATTTCATTACAGAACAAAGGCCCTGATTTCAAAACAGGAAAATCTTTTCTCTGCTAGAACATTATAGGTAGGCTGGATTAAAGATATTGTCTGTAAACATACATGTCCAACAGCACATTGGAAATGAGTACTGTATTGTCACCGCTAGAAGTCTTAACAACTTAAGCCGAGTATCAGCATACCGCCAGACTAAAGTTAATCATCCTTTAACTCTGCATGAAAAGGCAGTTTTCTTCCCATCAGAATAATGTTTATTGGCTGGGTATTAAGTGGTATTTCCAAAAGATTGTTTATTTTGACAAAACAAACTCTGTATTTGCTTTTTACATACGGCTCTCTGTATGGGTATTAGTTCTGAATAGGAAGAACAAAATACTACTCTCCTTCAAGAAAAGATAGAGTTTAGGTTCTTTGTAGCCGCAATATGTTGTAGGATTCATGCTTTGAAAGAGAGCATGTACAGGCAGAATAAGGCATACTGATTCCAAATTCAACGAAAGTCTTTAGGAGTCCCCGATATTATTCAAAAAGGTAAAGTCACGGCATCTTTGAATTTATTCTGTTGACAGGAAAGCTCTAAATTTTTTCGGAATAAGTGGGAAAATATAAATGTAAAAGAACACGGAAGGTTTACTTAACTTAGGCTAACAAGCCGTTTCAGCTTTTTGCTGCAAATTTACTAAATTCCAAATATGCAGATCTATGAGATTCTAAATCTAAATCTACGCTTAGCTAATGAGAGTGAGGTGATGCGACTTACAAGAACCAATCAACAGCGATGATCAAGCTGATTCCGTCTTCTGGGAGGCCAACTGTTTGAAGGACAATCAACATAGTAACGAGACCAGCTTGAGGAATTCCAGCTGCTCCAATCGAGGCAAAAGTCGATGTCAAGCTAAAAATGTAAAATGTAAATAGGAAAATGCATTTGGCATCTTGTTTTTCATTTTCTTTTGTGAATACTGTTGTGCTAGCTATCTAACAAAAGAGAAAATACTCTGGCTTTAATGTCTTTATTGTTTGCTATCATCGAAAGGTCCAGGCAAATTACACGGTATCTGAGGCTTTAAACTGAGTAAATAAGAACTTCAATTTTACTTATTGTGCGCTTTCTGAAAGCTTGAAAGGAATCTGTATAAGAATTTATTTCGATGTAATTGCAGATATCTACGTCAAATAAATGACCACGTGGGGCAGGAATAGAGAATTGGTAGAATGACGACAACATTATAAAAACTGAAACGAATTATTTATGGTAAAACATAATATAATAACATGAAGTGCTCTCTTTAACCAAGGATGCACTCCTGACATGTGCTATGTGCTGCGTAGTTGATATTAAAGGAAGTTTCCTTTTTCACAAAAATAATAAAAATGTATATATCATATTTATAGCAAGCAAAAGAATATAGAAATCTTTCATTGTTGACAGACTTGTAAAAAGCGACGTTGTAAATAAACTCCAAGTTTTTCTTACCTGATCATGACGATTTGGCCAAAGTTGAGAGAAAAATTTGATGCTTGTGCGATGAAGATGGCAGCAACAGCCTCGTAAAGCGCTGTTCCATCCATGTTGATTGTTGCACCAATAGGAAGGACAAATCTTGTCACTCTTTTGTCAATATGGTTATTCTCCTCGAGACACCGGAAGGTGACAGGCAGGGTCGCAGAACTGAAATGCAAGAAACATGGCGATAAGGTTTTATCCCTTTTCGAAAGCAACCATAAACAACGCCATTAGAGACTTTGGCGATAGCGATTTTTCATGATTTGTTTTACAAAATTAAGAACTCAAGTTAAACACAATGGATGGTTAAAATCTGCAATATGAAAAGCTTATTAAGAATTTTACACTTTGACTGGTGAGTGGTACCTCGTTATCATAATCAACATATTGAAGTGATTTGGACATAAGCAAAGCACTGGTGGACGAATTCGATAAAAATCCCACAAAGTTGCCCTCTGGGCCTTTTACTGTTCATCACTAGCCACTTATCTGAATTCATGATAATCATAACTTTTATTTGTCACTTCTTAACTCACCTAGAGGAGGTCCCAAACGCTGTCAGCATAGCCTGTATAATTCCTTCTAAAAATGAGAGCGGGTTCTTGCGCGTAAACAAGAAGTAAAGTCCAGGAAGAACAATCAAGGAGTGTATGGCAAGGCCCACAATGACAGTCACTATATACATGCCGAGACTTTCAAACGTAGCTGCAATGTTTTCCATGGCGGCAAACTTGGCTGTTATCAAACTCCAGATTCCAATAGGAGAGTACCTGAACACATGGGAAAACAATGCTGCTTATTTCTTAACGAATTCTTAAATCGCAAATGAAAAGATTCTTAAACGAATTTTTAAATCGATGCGAAAGGAAGAAATTTGAGTGTCATTTCATAAGTTATTTGTTATAAAACGACTTTCTGTTAATAAATATAAAAGAGGTTTCTGAGCTTTCTCAAAAAATAGTCAATCACCATGGGAATGGAAATAATAAATGTGTTGATTTAGCGAATGTTTGCATAATTTCTGAACATTAGAAAATCTCTTTAAGGCCTAACATGTCTTGGGTATTAATGTTAATAAGATACTGGTTGTAATTCTTTCCAGAGATACCCCATTAAATCGGTGAGTTATCCCTACAGACTGCATTGGGATAAACTGCGATAAATATTTATGCTTACCACATGACAAGAGTGACCAAATACATGACAATATCGTTCAGGGCTATGACGAAGTTGATAAACGTTGTGGCGTGCGTTCGCGACTCCTTCTTGCCTTTCATTCGGCCAACCACGACACCAACAGCAAGTGAGAAGACGACAAGGCCAAGGACGTTTGTACCAGAGGACACTCCGACTGAACCACTGACCCTTGTTCTCTTGGTATCTACGTAATATTCCTTGGTATAAGAGCTGTTGATTATTTCTGTTAAAATGGTTCTCCCTGCCGCTCTGGAAGAATTTCTATTCCCATCATTTACCGTCACATTAGTTTTCTTTGTGATGATATTTACAGCTGACTTGGTCTAAAAACAAGAATTTAAGCACTGAAATAAGAAATGACTAAACCTGCAAAGGGAGCTGGAGAAGCATTTGTTTTCGTAAAAGGCAAGAAAATTCTCTTCATGATAAGAAAATAGAACAAAGTATTAATGAGTTCATGATCAGACAGACAGATTAGACGGACAGAAAAAAACTGGAGATATCCTTTTGGGGGTCCGAACTCTTTGTAAATGTTTGTGACAGCGGTCGGAATTGAGAGTCGGACACCTGATATCAGAAGGTATTCTCCACTACACCTTGAAACGCAGACCTTAGCATTGACTTATTGAAAGTGACGTTGAATATGGGAGCAGATAATTTGCAGGGCTCTGGTGCAGCATAAAAAGAGCGGCAGAAGCAGTTAGGCATCGATGGAATTTCAATCAACACTGACGATACATCCTCCAAATGCAACTTTGTTTGTCTGCAGAATTGTCACCAAAGGTAAGACTACGATATGGGATTGAGCAACACTATTCAGATGGCAGATGCCACATTTAGGGGACTTTTAAATTGCCCCTCATCCCAAAACCGTCAAGGATTTAGCACACTTGCATCAAGGTTTCATTTCTGACGTCAGGCAAAATCTGATTAAAAGAAAAATGGCATACAAATATGGATACTCCTGCAAAACACCATAAGGACTCCCCCCTCCCCCCCCTCTATGCCATTCCAACAAAATATCGCCTGTTTACACAAAATTCAGGATGTGGAAAACCCGGTTGAATGTTCTTACCTGCTCAAAGCACGCTGCAACGATGTTTGGAGGGAAAAGATTTCTAAAAGATAGAAAAAGGGGATTCAGAATTGCCATTAGCAAGAGGGGTTAGTATTACTTACAATTTCTTTGTCATTTTGAATCAATTTGAGACACAAAAAGTAACACCTCTTTTGTTTAGTCCTGATTCAAAATGAGTAGACGTTTGGTTGAAGAGAGGAAAAAGCGAAATTTTCGCTATCATCCCTGCATACAATACTCAAAAAAAGATGAAATGGAAATAGTTTTTTTTAAAATAGATCTATGTAGACTTTCTCTATGTAGACTTACTCCATGAGCCTCTGTTTCGCTACTGCCTCACTTGACGAACGCTACAACAGAGAGGTTTCGCTACTGCCTTATGAGTCTCTGTTTTAGCGTCCGTCAAGTGAGGCAGTAGCGAAACAGAGGCTCATGGGGTATGTCTAATCTCTATGATTACAATGGGGCACTTATGTAAATCATTATTGCGCATGCACGTTGTCTGTTGAATTTGAAATCTGACGCTGGGAACCTGGTATAAAGATTCTTTTCGCTGCATAGGCTTAGTCAGGCGTTACATTGGTGTAAATAATTGACGCAAAACACGATTGGATCTATCAAAAGCTGGACAAATAAAAAATATTAAAAAACTGTAATCCCCTTTTATGGTTGTGTAATCCTTATAAACTTGTCCCCCATGTAAATGAACACCGCTTATCTAGGTTAAGGTTTTGTAATCTCCTTTGAAATTGTTTGGAAACTCGCCACTGTCACACGCTGGGAAAAATATACTGCGGGACAGTTGTTTTTCGAACAAGAAAGAATTTTAACTAGAGGCATCAAATGTCATCAAATTACGTTGATTAATTTCTGCCAAGATTTTCAGCTTTTAATTACACAACAGAATTGTTGCTGCAGTGGCCTGCGGGGTATTGGACTATGCTAAGTTGTATGCTGGGATACGATTGTAAAGGGTTTATTATGGCAAAGAGAATGTAAAGCTCAGTGATATTTGCTGCATACAGATGCTTTTAAGCATATCAAAATACTGTTACTCGGCAAAAGCATAGATCTAATTTGGTATTCGATGCATTAACTTTGCAATCTGGCTTAAAACAATCTTTGGCCGTGTGCGTAGCGGATGCAAAAGGATTAGGGGGCCGTATGGATCTTTTCCTAATATTACTGCTACATCGAGATAGAATTTCTCGAATAGAGCTTGAAATTATTTATATTTTGCATTGTTAGGGGGCTGCAGCCCCTAGCCAGGCAATCAGATCCTTCTTTAGATGACAGCAGGGTGGGTTGAAAGCAAAATCCAACCTCACCACACTGCCAAGTTAACCGATTATTTGAGAAGCCTTCATATTCTAACCAAAATGTTTGGGATCTCTAAGGGAATAATTCATTTTCAGTTATAAAGAGGATCATATTAGTTTTTGATGTACTTATTAATTGCAGTGGCTTTTCGTCATTTCTCAATTTAAAAATGCCTTTATTTGGACAAGAGGTCAGATAGATGAAGAGTTTTCATCAAAATTCCTTATCCTACATCCTGGATAATATAAGTGTGTCTAAAATATGTTTTATTTGCAGTACGTCCAGATGATCAACAAAACACAATTTTCCTAGGAATTGCCCCCTTGAGCTTCAAAGATGGAGGGGGGGTTAGATTGAAAATGTAAATTCTGTAATTATTATTAGGGGGAATTGGTTAAGAAATAGAAATTTTTTTTCATTTTATTACTTCTGCCCTTTATTGAAAAATTCTGATTCTTAGTAGAAAGCCTACTAGATATTTTGATTTCCTCTGAAAATCACACTGGTGGCATAGTAACAAAAAGTATTTTGAAGAATCCGAAAATTCAATATTTGACAGGGAATTTCACAGAAATTTAGCTGTAACCCATTTTTATCGTATCTAGGGCTAACCGAAATGATACAAATGCAAATATTTGACCAGATGTTTTTAAGACAGCAAGATCCAGTTACAATCAACACAATCAACAACGACGTCCCCTTTGTCCTCGTTTTCGTTGCCATGTCCTCGTTTACGTCGGCATCCATTATCCTCTCATCAAGTGTTTCAGAAAAGAAAAATGAATCTAAATCTCACAGAAAAGGATAAAAATTTACCTTATTAGATCGAGAACCGAGTCAAGAGGAATAACATCCCTCTGTTTCTTTTTTTCTGTATTTGGTGCCGCTTTTCCGCCTGGATTGATAATTAAAACAAGAATGATTCCAAGAATGACAGCCAAAATAGTAGTGCCCATGTAGTAACAAATGGCTCTTCGTCCTAACCGACCAGATGCTTGTTGATCAAGGGCAGCCATTCCGACAATCAAACTTGAGACAATCAATGGAAGAATCAACAATTTCAGCATTCTCATCAACAGTTCACCAAGGAATCCAATAAGCACGAGAGCTGTAGTTTTATCTGGTTCCTCCAAAGACTGCACCCGTTTATTGATGCTTATACCAATAATGAAGCCGAGTACAACGGCTATGATTATCAAAAACATCAGCAGATCTTTCTCTATGATCCGTCTCCATTTTGGCTTCTGCCTCTCCGGTGGAGCTTCTGTCTTGAGGTGGCTATCTAAATTAGGCCCGCCGTTTTTGGGATTGTAATCTGAGCCTGGCTTCTTCAACTCAACTTCGGCTAGGGTAAAGAGAATTAAAATTTTGAATACAAATTGCATTATGATTTAAAAAGGTATTCTCCATTTTGCTCTAGAAGACAAAAAACTAAAATTCATAAACTGTTAAATGCCCTGAATCAGCCAAACTTTAAGTTCAATTATATAGCAATAAAGTATCAATATTAAATCTGAAACTTCCAAGCAAAACATAAGAAGCTGATGTTAGTCAACAAACCATGCAAAATACTAGAACTTAGTGGCCTAAAATGACAGCCTATTTTTACCAGCCCGTTTTCACCCTAGGCTCAAAGCTAACAGCTTTGCGCTGAAAATATTTGTTTTTACTTCCCGAGTTCATTTGAAAAAAGCATTTGAACGACGATGGACATTTTCAAGGTCTTTTGAAAAGACTCAAACAAGCTATTCCAGGTCAGACGTAGGCCTATTACATCAAACTAGTAACTTTGCAGAAACTCTGTTTGGATGATGAATCAACGCCGTCTTAGATTTTATCACTCAATCCCAACAGGGTATAATAAATAACATCATTATTATGATGAGATTGAAGTCTGATTTATACATCTTTCTGATATTGTTAGATCCTGTTTTACTGTTGCATACTATTCAAGTTCAAGGCTTTAGATCTACAAAGTGAACATACTGCTTAATTCAACGACCATACCACAGACTTCTCCTAGCCTCTAAGTGAACTATGGCCAGTGTTAAATGAAGACCCTATAAAGTCCTTGATGTGTTTTAATTTAGAATTGTTAGACAGAATTCTAGAAGAAATGTTTCTAAATAGTCTGGCCCCGATGGGTTATCGAAGAGACCATTGAGGCGTCAACTGTCAAGCCCAACGGATTGCTGTCTACAAAGAATTTACCGATCATGTCCCCTTTCTACTGATATTCTCAAAAGCGTCTTAAGGCAGATCAGGCTTTTACTCTCAATTTTAACCGTATAAATCCGGGCCTTCTTAAATTACGCTATACGTTTGACAAGATTTATTTATAAGACATTTTCCATGTCATACATTGCATTTAACCATCCTTTGCTTGCTAGCCCCAAAGGACAACTGCTAAGGGCATAAGACAGGGCCGTCGAGAGGCAGCTCGGGCCCAGGGGTGATTCACAAAACTGGGCCGCCTTAAGAAAAGTTCCTGTGGCACGCCCTTCAGTCTACAGGAGAACAAGACTCGACGCCCCTGGCATAAGAACGTGTAATAAAGTGAGGGAGGGGGGGGGGGTACAACGGCAAAAGAGTATTATTTTCTATCATAGATGCAGTCATGCAAAAGGCGCACTTTGAATATAAAATTTGTTGCTGGAAAATAGTTGGGCACTTCCCCACTGACCCCGGTTGCTGCACCTAATGGTCCTGCAACTGTAACATCCTCGTGTAAAGCCACCAGGGTTGTACTGCTGGGGGGCTCAGGGAGGCTAACCCCCTTTGTTAATGCTGAAAATTGGCAGATTTCTACTTTTGCTATTGTTTTTCGCAACATTTTGTGCAGGAGCCCCCCTTGTTGTTTTGATAGCACTACACCACCAGTGGTCGAAATAACGGCCGGTAATCGGTGAAAACCTACGGGGAAATGAAAAACACCGACGAGAAACTGACATGATTTATGAGAAAAAACCGACAGGATATTCTGCTGAGTGGCAGTTTGTCCAGTGGAGTTTTGTCCGTGACATTACGTCCTCCTGCGTTTTGCCCGCACCCGCCCCATCCTACACGATTTGGTTCTGTTTTTCATTATATCCTGTGTATTCATTTGATTTCCATGCTCGTAGTTCAAGCATTACACACGATCAATATCTAGGTCAGATGATCCCAAAATGGCTCACATTAGAAATAAATTGCCAAAAGATGCAAAATTTTCCGGTGCTTCGCCCCGAACCCCATTGGGGGTGGTGGGGCGCCCCAAAACCCCCCAGCTGTCTTGGAACTCGCTTCGCGAGTTTTTATTTTCGCCGATGACACAATCTTCCCTTATTTCGATCACTGCACCACTGATAGCCATAACCGTTATTTGGAAATACTACTGCTCACCCGCGTCTTTAATGCTCACTGGCGTTGCCGTAAACTACCTTGAAACCAAGGATACAACAGGCACACAGTGCGAACGATTTCCAACTCTAAATAACATTCTTTTCGATGATACAATCTTAATATTATTTTACTCTTCTATGTATCCTTGAGCGAGAATTTAATGCACACTTTGCCACGGTTATGATTTAAAGTTGAAAAACTCCATTCACGGGTAGGAATGAATCACAACAAAATAAACATGCCATGAACGCTACGGTAACTGCGGCGTGGTGAATAAGAAAACAAATAATAGCCCAAGATGAGTCGAGCTCTTGACCTCTTTATTGTATCTTCATCGAAATGTAATGGTCTTTTGAACTAGTACAAATCTTCAGAGCATGAAAAGTGACATCCAGACAAGTTAAAGTCTAGGTAATTGAACAACAATGTGTTGTAGAAGTGCAAGGCATAACTCAATGTCCTATTTGCGGCATTTAGAAAGACTCGGACTAGGCCACCGAACTTGTCTTGGCTACAACTTACCGTTTGGTTTCGTAAAAAGTGCAAATGTTGTAGGCATGGTCGTCCAGTAACGCGCAATTTAGATCGACTTGTGTATGAAAAACGACATCGTGTAAGTTTGGTATCGGTTGCAGACAGCGGAAAAGCTTCGGTTAGGAACAAATTGAAGGAATTCTTTAAAAATTAATCAAACGTGAAAGAAAACAAAAGAGAAGCCTGAAGAAAACAAAACGCGGTTCTTGTGACCGGTAATAAACTACACAACTGAAAACTTGAGTGAATATTCTTAAAAGCAAAAAACCAACTATTTTGTTTAACAGAAGGAAAAAGATAAACAAAGAATTGCTAGAATTAATAAAGAAGGTGTTTTCCATATAATGAAAATGTAACTTCTGAGGAGGCTATGAAAGTAGCTCGGGAAAAACCTGTAACGCGCTTCTCTAATTTCAGAATCGTCATTTCTTGAGAGCATAGTTGATACACACTATATCAACTTTGTGGAGAGCCTACTTATCTTCAGTGCACGTCACGTCTGAAGAGCTATGTACACAGTTTTTCTTACGTTATGTCTTTCTTAAAATATGGCAATACGTTCAGTATAGGGAAACACCATTAACCTCTGACTTGAACCGGTCACAATTTCAAGGAAATCAGCCAAGGTAGGAACTTCCTTTCAACATTATCTATCCAACTTTCTTCCTATTACCAGAGAGTATATATACGATTCTGGCAAGCTGATGGTTGTGACTTGCATTTTACATAAAAGAACACAGTTCAATATGGCTAGAAAACACTCAGGCGGAATAATTTGAAGTTCTTCTTTTTCCTTCAAACCAAAACTAAAGTGTCACTGTCGCGGAAAGCAAATTAACCTATCGGTCCAAGAACCTTTTTCATCTGCTTCTCATTCTTCAAAAGGGGCGCACAATTTCCAAAAAAGGGGTGCCAGACTTGCTTCAACTCGTTGAGGGAGGAGCAACTGCCCTTAGTTGCCCCCCTTAAATCTGCCACTGCAAGGGCCCCCCTTCTCGTTAGCATACCATTTGAGACAGTTCTTCCTCTAAATCAGTATGGACTGTTTTCTTTGCAAAGTTGATAAAACCACTTTGATATTATCCTGTTTGGTATAACTTTAATGTCGGTAATGGATTGTAAGAATGTGGATGCAAATACATAACTTTTCTTACATTTCTTTACAGAAGTAACAAGGATGTTGTTTATTGAAAATTTTTCTGGGGTAAGCCAACAGATCGTATTTTCTACTAACTCATATATAAATCTGTCTGCCTTTTATACGAAATGTTTACAAATAAAACTGTGAACTACTGTAAACAAAATGTTGACCTCACAATGGAATCTTCTTCTTAAAAGCTACCCGAATTGTGAGTCTTTTAATTCTTGAATAGGATATTTTACACTCTACCTTTCGCCATCATTATCTTCATAGAAGAGAACAAGCGTAGCATTACTTAACTTAGAAAATGTTTTGGAATTTTCCTGTTCTCTGTTTATATTAATGATAATAAAAATAGGCCTAAACTTACGCAAAATATGAAATCAGTAAACACGTTCTTATGTTTGTTTAGTGTTCGCGGAATCAGTCTTCTAATTGTTTGTGTGTGAATGAAGCCCCGTATGCCGGGGCGAAATATTAGCCTTTACTGATTTACGTGTATTTATTGTTGTTTATTCTCGGCGTATTGCGGTGTTTCATATTTGCTACATTCTAATTATTTATTGGTTCTTAGTTCTTTGTAGCAAGACTATATCTAGTTTCATTAGTAAATTGGCAGTTTTCTTCGTTCTGCTCGTTTTTCACTCTTACAATATAACAATCTATACATTCGTTACTATGACAACAGGAAGATGAGTATGCCAAACATTGAACATTATCGTTCATATTTTATTGGAGAATTAGGAAGTATACTTCGCATCGTGATATCAGGCAGTCCATATAACTAATATGCGTAAAATAATTGTTAATTCGCTTTCATATTTCTTTTATTTTGTTGCTTTGGCTGAAAAGTTATTTGACATGCATAAGTACAGCGAATCCAAAATAAACTTAGGCCAAATTGACTCAGAGATAACGCGCACAAGAAAGGAATTGGAAACTGTTCACGATAGAACACACTGCGCCGCTGCTCTGGGATTTCACCGATGTTGCAGAAAGGCGGAAAACTCTTCCAATGTTTCTCTCTGTGCGCAATTTTGATTGGTCAACTCTCGCGTGGCTGTATCTCTCTCTTTCCTTCCTCCCACTCGACACACTCATTGCTCTGAAGAGGAGACTCACTACGACACACGACGCCTATGATACTATAGATCGAGATTCGTTCGCTCGCATCGTGTGTTCCGACATGTCGAAGCAGTTCCGCCTTTCATGCAACACGGTGAAATCCCAGAGCAGCGCGCAGTGGTTTACGGTGAACAGTTTCCAATTCCTTTCTTGGGCGCGTTCTCTGACTTCAATTTGGCCTGAATTTATTTTGATTCGCTGTACTTATGCATGTCAAATAACTTCAGCCAAAAGCAACAAAATAAAACAAAATATAAGCGAATAACACTATTTACCATAATTGTTAATGATTGCCTGATATTCACGATGCGAAGTATACTCTAATCTCCAATAAAATATGATACGATATGATCAATGATTTTTGCATACTCACTCCTGATGTAATAGTAAGATGTCAAGATGTCTATATTGTAAGGTGAAAAGACAGAACGAAGAAAAACTGCAATTTACTAAGTTGAAACGTAGAGTATAGGATCTGGCTACAAAGAACCAATAACATATTATAATGTTGTTAGCAAATATGAAACACGCAATACGCCGAAATAAACACAATAAATACACGTAAAATCAAGTTAAAGGCTAATATTTCGCCGCCGGATACGTGGTCTTCATTTCACACACATAACAATTAGAAGACTGATTCCGCGAAACTAAACAAACATAAGAACGTGGATTTAATGATTTCATATTTTGTCGTAAGTTTAGCCTATTTTTATTATCATTAATATATAACAGAAGACATGGAAAATTCCAAAACATTTTCTAAGTGAGCTTCCAGTACATGCTCACGCCTTGTTCTACCCTTACTACTGACAGATAACTGATTGCGAAAGTAGAGTGTACAAAATATCCTATTCAACGACAATTAAAAGAACTCCACAATTCGGTGTAGCTCTAAGAAGAAAGTATTCCATTGGAGGTCAACATTTTGTTTCACACCCTCACCACGTTAAATATGTAACACCTTTCGACTAACAGCGACGATCTCTATATCACTGAGTTTACAGTAAGAAAACATACGCGAAGACGATTTTATTATAAAAATGATCTGTTGGCTTGCACTCCAGAAAATTTCAATAAACAGCATCACTTGTACTGTAAAGAAATGTTAAGAAAAGTTATGTATTTGCACTCCACAACCTCTTACAAAGCCGATTACTTTTCTGGACATAAAGTTAATAAGCAAACAGCGAAATATCAAAGTGGTTTAAATCACTTTTGCAAAGAAAAAGTCCATACTGATTAGAGGGAAGAGACTGTCTCAAATGGTATCCCGCTACCGCAGAAGGCGGCGCCGCTTCAGTTCAATTTAAAGCGTTGGCGATTAAGGGGTAACAGGGCAATGTTGCCCTCCTCACGAGTTTCGAAGCAAGTTGGCACCCCCTTTTTTTTGTGAAATTGTTGCGCCCCTTTATGAAGAAATGAGAATCAGAATGAAAAACGGTTCTTGGACCGATAGGGTAATTTGCTTTCCGCGACATAGTGACACTTTAGTTTGGTTATGAGGAAAAAGAAGAACTTCAAATTATTTGCAGTCATTCGCCTGAGTGTTTTTCGCTAGCCATATTGAACTGTGTTCTTTTGTTGATATATGCAGTCACAAACCATCAGCTTTTGCCAGAAATCGTATATAAATCAGGTCTATCAAAGCTCTGGTAATAGGAAGAAGTTGATAGATAATGTTGAAAGGAAAGTTCCTACCTTTAGGCTGACTTTCGCTTGAAATTGTGACCGGTTCAAAGTCAGGGTTATAGTGTGTTTCCCTAACTGAACGTATTGCATATTTTAAGAAAGACATAACGTAAGAAAAACGTGTGTAACATAGCTCTTCAGACAGTGACGTGCACTGAAGATAATAGGTCTCCTACAAAGTTGATATAGATGTGGTAGTAATAATGCTCTCAAGAAAATGAAAGCACTCTCTCATCGTTTCTGAAACAGGAAGCGGCGTTACAGTTTTTTTCCCGACTACTTTCATTAGCCTCCTCAGACAGTTACATTTCATTATATTGAAAAAACATTCTTTATTATATCTAGCAATTCTTGTTTTATTCTTTTTACCTTCTGTTAAACAAATAGTGGTTTTTTGCTTTTAAGGAATATTCACTCAAGTTTTCCATTGTGTGTTAGTATACCGGTCACAAGAAACCGCGTTTTGTTTTCTTTCAGGCTCTCTTATTGTCTTTCATTTTCGACGTTTGGATAATTTTTAAAGAATTCCTTCAATGTTCCTAACCGAAGCTTTTCCGCTTGTCTGCACACCGTACAAATTACACATTCGTTTTATCATACACAAAGTTCGATCTAAATCGCGTTTACTGGACGACCATGCCATACAACCATTTGCACTTTTTACGAAACCAAACGTAAGGTTGTAAGCAAGACAAGTTCGTTGCCTAGTCCGAAGTCTTCTAAATGCCGCAAATTGGACATTTGAGTATTATGCCTTTGCACTTCTTACAACCACATTGTTGTTCAATACTAACTTTAACTTGTCTGGATGTCACTTTTCATGCTCTGAAGATTGTTACTAGTTCAAAGACCATTACATTTCGATGAAGATACAATAAAAGAGTCCAGAGCTCGACTCATCTTTTGGCTATATTATTTGTTTTCTGATTCACCACGCCGCAGTTACCGTACGTGCGTTGCTTGTTTATTTGTTGTGGATTCATTCCTACCCGTGAATGGAGTTTTTCACACTTTTAAATCATAACCGTGGCAAAGTGGCATTAAATTCTCGCTCACTGGATACATAGCTAAGAGTAAATAAAATTAAGTCTGTATCATCGAAAAGAATTGTATTTAGAGTTGAAATCGTTCGCACTTTCTGCCTGTTTGTATCCTTGGTTTCAGGAGTTGCGGCAACGCCAGTGAGCATAAAGACGCGGAGTGAGGCAAGTAGTATTTCCAAATGACAAGGTTATTGGCTATCAAGGTAGTGCAGTGATCGAAATAAGGAAGATTGTATCATCGCGAAAAATAAAAATCGTTTAAGCGAGTTCCAAGAACAG